CTTAGATCTGGCCTGTGAGGCTGCCCTGGAAACAACGAAGGACCGGCCTGCAGTGTCTCTGACAGTGAAAACAAAGCTGGGGGGGGGGGGGACCCCCGCAACCCCCCCAAGCTCCGTTTTTGCTGCCAGAGGATTGCAGGAGGCTGTCGCAGCTGAAAATGGAGCTTGGGAGCCTATTTTTGCTGCCGGAGCACTTGGGCCACCACAGGTGCCCCTGACACGAGTGATGTTGAGCTGGCCACGCCCACCCCAGCCCTCCGAGAGCAAACACAACCCTGATGCACCCGTCAGTGAAATCGAGTTTGACACCCCTGGTGTCAGGTTTCCAAAAAAATGTCCTAATTGATTCATGAGCCTAGTTTCTATCATAACAGATTTCTTATACCTTGAACTGCTTGTTTGTCTGCCAAATTTTGAACATTGATTTCACTAGACAACAAAAATTTTGCTCCCTAAAAACCTTTCTAGTGTTATCTTATAGATTTTTGGTTGCTAATCGCAAAAATAACCTGTAATTTAGTGTATCATGTACCGTTCTATAGATAATCTTCTGTTTTTACACCAAGGCAATGTACAACCTTCAGCACCTGTTGGCCATGCTGCATATATGAAAGAAAGATATGAATACATCTTCAATATCTGTAAAATTCTAAAAGAAGTGGCTCTGCGGCATGGAATTGAACAATGAACTGTTGTTACATATGCAATTGGGACAGCTGTGCAAGAGATTCCACATTACATTAAAAAGAAATGGCCACGTTAAAAGGATTGGGTTCCAGGACTGAAAAACGTGGCCAATGAACCTCTTGTTGACCCAGCAGTTATTATTGCCTCCACTCCACATAAAACTCGGACTGATGAAAGATGCTATGACAATGATGAAGAAGGAAGGTGATGGTTGTCGTTATTTGAGACAAATGTTCCCAACAATGATTGATGTCAAGATTAGGAAACATATTTTTGCTGCTCCACAGATCAGATATGTCGTCAGTAACAAATTGTTTGAAGATGTGTGTTAGTGGAGCCAGAGAAAATCACCTGGAAAGCATTCAAGGATGTTGATAAGAATGTTCTTGGCAACGACACGGCAACAAACTATATCCAGCTGGTTGACAAACTTCTTACAGCATACAAGATCATGAAGCGCAACATGTCATTGAAGATTCATTTTCTGCATTCATACTTGGACTTCTTTCCTCAAAATCTAGGTGCATTCAGTGATGAATATGGTGAGAGGTTTCACCAGGACTTTGCTACAATGAAAAAAAAATGGTTTTCAGGGCAACTGGAATCCATCAATGCCGGCTGACTATTGTTGGACACTGCAAATAGATGCATCAGATACCGATTATAAACAATCCCTTAGAACTGGACCCTCTTCATACCAATTGAATTGAAAAGAATCTATTGTGAACAGTGCTTTGAAAGCTGTCCCTTCTGATCTTGGGAATATTGAGATCTTATACATGTTACTTTTTTTCTTGATCTTAAGATGATCTGTCTTAAGATCCCCAGAGAGTATCTGGGTTTTCTCATTGAGATAGGAGTTTATGGCTGTAGGAATGTTCCAGCACATGTAGCATTTTACACATAGATCGTGAGTAAGAGGTTGATAAATACTGAACAGCCTCAATAGGAGTTGCGGCTTTTCCGAACACATTTTATAAAATCATTAGCATTTATTGCATTGTTATCCTTTGCCACTTCTTAGGAACAGGCACTCTCATTTTGCCCTCCATCATTTAGAATTTTCTAAATCACATTTAATACACACTTGTAATAATTATTCATCAAATATACTTATTGGAAAATAACAACTGGAGGATGGTAACAGTGGGATGGTTAAAGTACCATGGTTATTGTAGAAGCTTCTTCTACCACCAGGTTTTCCAAATAAACACAGTCTCCATCTTTAAAGGACAATGTACCGGTACAATGGCACATCTACTAGAGAATTTGTCAGAAAATTGGAAAATGCTTTCAGATCCTCTTAGCTGATCTCTTATATTGATCTGCAGAATTTGGAGACCCAAGTCCTTTTTCCTTCCCTTGGAGAACTGAACTTTCTATTGGATCTCAAGATTTATCTCACATTTTTAAGCCCTGAACAAACAACCTGATTTGTCTCCAGGATCTGGATTTCCAAGCAGAATGCAACCACAACCAAATTGCAGTATATAAAAAGTCAAGGATGATGATTTTTATTCCAGCTATGTTGTTGCCCCTAAGGATAGAAACTTGGGGCTCATCCTTGACGTGAAGTATATGAACTCATTCCTCTCATCAACATTCAAGATAATATCTTCCATTTTATCCTTCCACCATTACAAGAAGGGCAGTGCTTTGCATCCATCAACCTGACTTGATAGGTTTATGTTTTCACATGAATGTCATTTTCAACCTTTCTCCTTCAGCTAAGCTCTTGCTTTGTGGTTTTCAATATCTATAACAGCAATTGTGACACATCTCTACAAGCATGAGAAGATGGTTATCAAACACTCTGACTGGCTGTTGATAGTTTCCACCAGAAAATAATTATGTAGGGCATATGCATGGTCCCAATCTTGCTTGAGTACATAAGCTTGAAAGTTAAACTTCAGAAGAAATCCTACTTCTCATTCTCTCAGGCTCCAAAGTTCTTTGGAGCTAAGATTGTTGAGATTGACTTCAGACAAAGTTGGTACAAAGTCTCTATACTGGTCCCAGGCATCTGTTCCATGAGACCAATTCTTGCTCATGTGGCTTTACAT